ATGCTCTTATTATGTGCTAAAAAGCCCCACTATATATATATATTAAAAATAGATATATTCACTATGGTGCATCTTATCCTCATAAAATTATGTACAAAAAAAAAAAAAAAAACTTGAAAAAGGAGCATAAAAGAAGTTGGGACATGATTATGGTTTTGCGTTTTGCTTTTAATTCATTGCCTTGGCTTTTGATCATTAATACTCTCTGAACCCAAACTTTTTTAGTTAGGGTTTAATATCTCTGGTTAAGGAAAGGAAAAGTGGGGTTAAATTGAATTGAAATGGTAAAGAATGAAAAAAGCTTTAGGGGACAGCGAAGCAGGAAGATCTGAGGAAATGTGTTGGCTACTTGGCTATATTTGATGAGATGATCTTTGAAGGCTGAATTTTTCTTTATTTTTACAGGGAAAAAAAAATGAGGCCAGGCAAACGGGATAATTATGAGGGTGAATGTTGGACCCACAAAATAAATTTAGGACCTTAGAGAGTTTAGACCCACCAGCTCTTACTCCTCCAACACACCCATGATTAAAAGCAAGCATAAATTTGATAAAATATAATAGAAACTTTTGCTCTCTTTTTTTTCCTCCCCTTTTACTCCTTTTTATTGACTCATATTTTATGAGTATAATTGAGAAAAAGAGAAACTTATGATGTCTTAATATTAATAGTATACTTGAATTGAAGGGAAGAGGAGGAGGGAAAATTTCCTTTTACTTTATTTTTTTTAATTTAATTATTTATTTAAATGATGGGAAAAATTCCCTTCTCTTCCTCTCTCCTCAATTTCTTTCAACACAAATATAAAAGAAAAATATTAAGATATCTAATCACAATCATTAATAAATAAGATATTGTATGAGTCTTAATTATTAATAAATAAGATATTGTATGAGTCTTAATTATTAAATTCATCATCTGGCTATTATTAAATAATTTTTACATTTTTAATACCAAAACACCTTAATTTTTCCTTTCCCTTCTCTTTTTCAAGTAAATGAAGTGGTGGTAATATTTTATTTTAATCTTCCTTTGATAATGCTTAATGTCATGTGGCTGCGGTTGGGATGAAGGAACATTAAAATCAAGGCCAGACCCATGAATTTTTTTATGTTTGGTCAAGAGCTCCTCCCCATTTTGTGCTCTCCTAATTAATGTCCTCCCTTAAGAGAATATTAGTCATAGATTGATTAAATATTTACCTCAATGAGTAAAGTGAAAGCTATTCATAAAAGTTTGTTTGAGGGTATAACAATGATTTAAAACTTTAAAAAGCTTCTAAAGGAAGAATGAAAAGGAAAAGGGGCTAAAGCATAAAAGTGGGTATTATGTTATCATTAAGGTTTTAATAAAACATGTTTATTGATATAAATTGAGAAAGGTGAAGATGTGATTGAAAAGTGAATATTGGATCAGGGGATTGAGGAATCTGTTTTAGGAACACATAATCTTTTACGTTAATGAACCTCGAAATAATATGCTCCAAGACATATTAAACTTTGTTATTGTAAAAGTTTAAATCTTCGTTCTTAAGCCCTACGCGATATTGAATCCATATGCAGTACACGAAACCGGTGATCTTGTGTTTTATGATCCGGCAAATGAGATCATAAACAAGCCGTATTATATTAAGTAGAACTGTTGATCTGTCATTATTAACTAATGATGCGTGCGCGGAGAATTAATTAACACAATCCCTTTTACTATCTTTTGTTTGGTTACCAAGAAAACAGATTCCAAAAGAAACTTTTTCTTTCCACTATATGCAACAACATTCAAGATAAAGTTGTGCATGCATAATTTCAAAAGACACAACAAAGAGAAAAAAAAAAATGGAATCCCACAAATTTGTACTTACCCTTTATCAAACCCAGAAATTAAATCTCTTTTCCCACCAAAATTCACAACATTCCCATCAACTAAACATCATTTTCTTGCGTACCAAAAATATATATATATATATACACACACATATATATCATTTTCTTGAGTTTCATGGATCTCCTTAGACCTCTAGCCCATGCCCCACTTTGATCTTTGGATATAGAAGAAGAATAATATTACCACTAAGGCAAACGCCAGCTCATGCTCAATTGCTCATGGAATGGGGTTGAATCTTATAACTTGTTTGAGAAGTAGCATTCTATTTTATCGATACATCATGTTTTCAACTAACAAGCAATATATGAAGACATTGCTAGCCAACAGTTTTTTTTTTCTAAAAACAAACAGAACCCAAGAGCTTACACAATAATTGATCTAAAAGGGTCTTGCTAATTTGCACAAGGCAGCATCACATCAATTTTTAAAAACATGACCAAATCAGAGGCATTAAAAAAATAGTGTGTGTATGTAAGAGTGGACCACTCAACCCCAAACAAGTCCTAAAACAAAGGCAGTACTGTTGCATATGAAGACAAATTGAAGGCTTGAAGATCTTGAGAAGAAGTAGAAGCTGCAACTACATTAAAATGACATGAGCATGTGCAACTTCAGTTTTCTAAGCTAATCTCTATTAAGAATGGGATTAAAAATGATAATGTAAGTATTGTTTTCTGAAAGACTTTAAGAATCAAATCTTTATAAAAAAAAAAAAAAAAGAGTAAAAAATATTAGTGTGCATTGAAGAGAGCTCTGAATCTGATGGTTTTGTTGCTTCTGGGAAGTTGGATACGTGTAGCCAATTGTGTTGTTAACAGAAACCACAACAAAAGGATTAATTATAATGAAAGTGACAGAAAATTCTCATATGAATCTTATGCCATTTGGAATTGCTTATTCTATAATTGCATTAATAGGAAGTTATTATTGTTTGTATATTAGGAAGTTGTATAAATCTGGACTCAGGAACCTGATTGGTTTTTGATTGCATTAAGCCCGTGAATGCCCAGTGAAAGGATTTACCGACAGTCTTACTTGATAAATCTCGTCAAATAAGAAACAAAAAGGAACAATGATGGAGCACAGTGTCCAGATTGTAAAATAATAATAATAATTTTTTATTTTAAATTGTATAATAAAATAAAATTCTTCTCTATTTCTTAAATCATTTCACTCACATTTGATGTAAATCAAATTTAAGATGTTTTATTTCTACTAAAAATAGATTATCCCTAGATTACTTAGATTATTAATAAAGATGGTGTTATTGGAACAACTTTTTTGTCTTATTTTTTTATATAACTTTCACATGTTATTAAATGAGTGAATGCTTTCAATATCACGAGTCCTACATAAATTAAAAAAACTAATCATTTTACTGATACGTCAAGTTGTACAAAAAAATAAGATGAAAAAGTTGTACAAAAAACATTTCTCTACCAATAATTTTTTTTTATACAAAAATGACAGGCACAATTACATTATTATAACCATTTCCAAGAATGTCATTATTTTCTTTTAAGTGAATATGGGAACTTTTTGTTTTAGTTTCTTATTTTCTAACTGGACAGAGCCTGAACGTGGAAATTAATTTTGAAGTTGGGATTACCTGTCTAATAGACATCCTTCAATAATTTATTTTATAATTTTATAACTGGGTAATTTAAGATTTTAAAATAATGGAGGTTGGGTTAATAATTATTTGAGCTTTTTAATAGATAACTTAGTCAAATACTACAAAATAATTACTATAAGTTATCTTCAACAACATCAAAATAAAGCAATAAAAGTCGAATCTATTTCAACTTGCACTTAAGAGGCCAAAGGAAATGGTTTACCTGCAATCATTCTATTTCACAATAAAATCTCACAAAATCCCACCAGACACTAATTGTGATTAAAATTAGTAGGTAAGTGCACCAATCGATATACATGCAATTGTTTAATAACACGATAATTATGAAATAGATGATGGTTGAATAAACTCTATAACTAAAACAGGAAAAAAAATGTACATTTATAAATAGCCAATATAGGCAGTCATAATGTCATGTTCATCTTAAAATGTTGACCAGATCTAAACTTTGTCCCAGTTTAGTGCTCTTCACATAATCAGGTTTACATATCTTTTTTACAATTACATCATATCTAAATGGAAATCAACAAGACGATTCTTAAATCATGCTAACTAAAAGTTACTCATTAAATGCTGTTAGGCAGGATACTTTGTCCTTTTGCAAGTATAGCCCTCTGCTATACTAAATTCTTCTGGTAATAGAACAATAACATTGTACCTTGTACTCTCTGTTCTGTAATTCATCAGGATCCAATCCTTTATACCTATACCTATACTACTCTCTAAACTGTAAAATTTCATAAATGTTCCTTATTCAAGATCTTACACCAAGATAAGAATCTTCGTTGATTAAAAACTGGGTGCAAAACGGGAGAACAAAATGCAGGCTGTGTTGGATAAACACAAACAGACACAGCTTTACCTAGCTTTTAAGACAAGCCACTTATGTGAATCATGGTGATATGTTTCAAGTTATTGACACTATGCATAAGAGGACACAGCAATCAGCATTGCTACCATCAGATAAATCCCAGGAACAGTCATATTTACTAGCAACCTATCCTTGGGACCAAAATTACTCTATCCAACTCCTGCAGTGGTTAAACTAGAAATCAGTCAACATCCCAAGTAAATTTCAGCTTTGGTAATAGGGCCCTTCTACCCATACTAGTCGTAATCAGCCTACTTTCAGGCACCAAGCGTGAGACAAAACATGGTCCCCTGCTTGGCTAGTTCCATAAGATAAACAAGTGGAATTTTTAATGCCATCACTGTTTACACAAGTATTAATTGAGAGCAATCCCTCAGACCTAGTCAATCATGGAACCATGTTATCACATGATCTTAAATGAATTCCAGCTTTGACAAGCTTAAAAGACCAGGAAGCTTTCATCCGTTTTTTTTCAGAATTTACAAGTGAAAGCCATTAAAGTGAGATAAAATTCTGAAGGCATAGCGGCCAACCTCAAATCATATGATATCAAAATTTATAAACTGCAAAAGCAACATTAGGAGCTGTTTAGTATAGGGAAGGAAGGATACAAAATAGAAACTTAAGATCTTTGAACCATATTTGAGTAAAACATTATTCCACTCACCATACTTAAATTAGAGTCATCAAAAAGCAAAGTAGGAAAATTTTATGAAACAACTAAATAACTTACTACAGTAGTATAGACTGGTAAACAAATATGTTTATGCAATTAAGCACTGAAAGAGCTGAATTCTAACTTGGTACAAAGAAGTTATCAGCATTGGTAAGGTGAGGGAAGGGAACTTCAAGCACCTGCTACTAGATGGGACTGAGATAATTAGCAAACCTACCTGTTATCAAGAAGAACAATCATCAAATAATTTCATAGCATGACTATAAATTATAAATTTATAATCTAACCACCCAAAACTTCAGCATGACTTGCATAGGAAAATGGTTTAACAATCATTCCAAGCACAAGGGTCTAAGCACACCAAATATGAGAAAATCCACAGTGACCATGATTTCAAAACCCCCCTAACCTTAGTGCCAATCATGAATAACTGCTAATAGTTTTCTACAAGTGCCTAGTTACAATGCAAATTACCAATGAGATTGCAGAAAATCAGGATGTCTTGACAATTAAAATGTCCAGACTCCTATGAAATTAATAAAAATGGTGAAAATGGAAGGAAGAAACATGAAGGGAAGAGTAGAACACATGGGACAAGCACCGGAGGGATTCTGATTAGTGATTTCCGAGAGATCTGAGGAAGTGAAGTGCAGGTGAAATGGGCATTTTCTGTTTTGCTTGCATTGCGTTGCATTGATTCAAAGTTTCAAGTGACTTTCTTTGTAGATTGAAATAAAAATGGTGAAGGCTCACTTTCTTTCTTTCTTTCTTTTCCCTTTCTCCTCTTGTGAAATCAAAGACAAGAATAAGACACCTATAAGAACGATTCATTAAGCGTATTTAAATAATTTCATAGGGAGTCCAGACATTTTAAATGCTAGGATGTCCTAATTTTCACTTCTCTCATTACAAATATCAGATTAAACAATTAGTTGTGGTAACACTAATGTCCAGACTCCTGTCCCTAAAACTATCCAAAACTGTATATGAGTATATCTCTGCTGTTACATATAACACCCTAATTCTAATCTCTCTTTCTTGATTCACTGATAAAACAGGCAATCAGTTCATATTCTTCAATCCTAAGATCTATGTAAAAGAACCCTCCCCAAAACACTGATTTCACATTTTCACTTAAAATAACATTAAAGCATTATCCTATCCTTCTCAGGGATGAAGAGGAATACCTTCTACACAAGCATTGGTGTAGCTAGGGAGCTTGGAGACGAGACAGGCTGAGGCAATGGCACTGTGGACCGGCTGCAGAGAGCTCAGTTCTCGTCGAACAAACCTTCAAGATTCAACAAAAACCAAAAAAGAAAGCAAATTTCCGGATAAACCAGACCATATATAAGGAGTACAGAAAAAGATAGAGAGCGGCGAACAAGAAGGTACCTTGAAGGAGAAGGGGAAATTCTGGTGCCGCGAAGAGTGAACGAGATTCTTCTGGTACTTGTCGTCGTTGTTCTCAGGATTTGACGCAGAAATGTGGATCTTCCTGCAACAGTCGCTGCTACCGCAGCCATTTCTTCGGGTTGAGTACTCTTCCTCAATCGAATCGGAACCCTAAACCCTCCGTTAAACCCTCTTTTTTGGCCGCCTCCAAGAAAACCAGTACATTTGTTTTTGGTTAAAATACCAATTTGGTCTCTCAACTTTTAGATTTGTACCAAAATTGTCTTAAACTTTGAAAAGTACTAAAATTGTCCCTAAACTTCAATTTTTGGCACCAAAATAGTCCTCAAACTTTGAAAATAATACCAATTTAGTTCTTAAACTTTGAAAATAAGTATCAACTTAGTTTTTGAACTTTGATTAGAAATACCAATTTAGTCTTTCAACTTTGATTATATTTCAATTTGATGTGTAAAGAGAAATATATCATAATTATAAAATATAATTGTTTGATTTTACATGTCATTAGTATTTCAAAAAAGAACTGATTTGTAGCAAAATAATGAGTTACATGACAATTTTGTTAACCAAAGGACTATCTTAGTACTAAAAATTAAAGTTCAGGGACAACTTCAATATTTTTTGAAGTTGAGGGATAATTTTGGTATAAATCTGAAAATTGAGGGACCAAATGGGTATTTAAACCTTTGTTTTTCCTGTTTCTCCGTTGGTTTTCTGGGGTGGACCTAGAGTTGAACTTAGCAGGCCCATCTATCCCCCAAGCCCAAAAGATTGTAACAATTTCTAGAATTTTTTTAATGATAACTAAAATTTAAAACTAAAATACGAAGCTAATAATATTATATTTAAAATATTTAAAAAAAAATAAAATTTTATTATTTAAAAATTAATTTTTAAAATTTTAAAACTCATATTATATTATATATATTAATTAATTTAATAATATAATATAAATCACATTATTGATATTAATTTTTCACTCTAAATTTTTGTCCTCATTGTCAATACTCTTTATTTTTCATTAAAAAAAAAATTATGATGCAATTCAAAAATGTAGTTTCAACTGCATCTAACTGTACAATCATAAAGGACCTCTCTTTAAGACAAAGCCATATGTTAAGTCCTTGAAGTAACCCCTAATTTGTTATTGAATTTTTAAACTTTAATTAATATATATAAACCCTTAAACTTTATTATTTGAGTAATTTACCCTTTAATTCTTTAATTATAGTAAGAATAATTCTTTAAGACTTTAACTACCATAAGAATAAAGGCTAAATTACATAGATGATATGATAGAGTTTAAAAGCTTATATGCATGAATTAAAGTTTAAGGGTTCAATAACAAATCTGAGATTAATTCAGGGACTTAACATATGGTTTTGCCCTCTCTCTATTAAGTCGCCTTAATTTACAAATTTTATAGATTAACCCATAACAAATTAACAATTAACAATTTTATTCCGGGATTACTATATAATGCTCCAGAGATTTTTGTGATTTTCGAAGCGCGCCTTTCTTCTTCTCAATTTGCAGCGAAAATGGTAGAAAATGGCATGATTTTGGAAGGATTAAGTCAATGGGAACAGATCCAATCGTCGAAATCCCAAGAAGTTACGCAATCAAAACAATGGTCGATGGTTGTGATTAGAGATTCTCTCCGTCGGAACGACCTTTCCGTTTTCCCTCCGGCCAACCATGAAAACCTTCCAATTTCCGCACAACAGAATCAGAAAGAGCAAATCCCATCATCGAAATCGACACACCCATCACCGTGTGAGTCCGATGTCAGTGAGGTTTGCCCGGTACCGAGTGATCGAGGGTTCACCAGGTGGGTCGCCGTTGCGTTGCGGGCTTTGCGTGCCACGGTTATCAGCATTCCTTCCTTATTAGGTCTTGCCAGAGGGGCATTTTGGTCGTTTCACCGTGTCGCCGGCATGGCTACGGTGGTACTGATATGGTGGCTGCGGATGCGGGCCCGGCGGCAGAGGTGGCAGCATAGAGAGAGCATCGACCACCTGAAAACGATCATCAGGGAGAAAGATGAGGTAAACTGTTTGTTGAAATGCCACAGAGAGAATAGTAACCAAACATAGAAAGAAAGACACGTTTCCAATTGCTTACTTCTAAATTTTGCAATGCCCCTTTTGCAGAAAATCATTCAACTCTTGCACCAAATTGCTCAAATGAATGAACTACTGGTCGCCCGTCATCGAGATCTATCTTCAAAATTGACTAACTGATTAGGATAAGGAAGACCATTGATGGCGGCTCTTCTGCTAACTTTATGCTTGCAGCTGCTAGATCAAAATTCAATGGCACTTTGTATTTCACTTCACAAAGGATTGCACAACAGAACATTGCTAGGTCGTGAAATTCTGAAATATGGGGCTCTCCAGACTTGAAGTTCTGGGAAAGGGGCAGAGCTGGAGAGCTTTGAATTGTACATGATTCGTTTCTTGCAATATAAAATTTTCAAATTCATCAATTAGATTTTTCTTTTAATTCACCATGTAAATCATTAAAATCAAATCATGATCAGTTCAATCATCCTTACCAGATTGCTTCTGATTTATTTTACTTTCACAGCCAAAATGCTTCATCATCCACAGTTGATCTTGTAATGGCTATTGACCATCTCCCTAGACGAGCAGTGTAACTTATGCACCGCATAACACCTATACCACCAGGTCCATTGGGAAAATCAACCAACGCCAAAGCTCCCTACATCAAGTTAGAATGAGCCCATCCATTCTTTTGTGAGATTTACACAGCGCCCCATCAATGATATGCACACTGCAGGATGGCCAACAGCAACAACAACAACAATCTTATTTTGACAAACCTACTTGCAACTATAGGATGTTAAGAAATTATCATAATTCATATATAGCCAGAATTAAGATTAAGACCAATCCTAAGCCACTGCAGATAAGTGATGGAGAACAACTTCAATCCATGTTAATCATTCTAATGACCTGGAACTGGATGAGATATGAGAATTGGATAAATTTATGACTTTGTATTCATATTATGATTAATCAAGTTCAGAAGTTAAAAACCAGTAAAATCCCCAATTTATCCTCTACCATAGCAACAATCTTCACAGCTAACAGGCAAACAGTAAATGAGAAGGGAGGGTTCATGGAACTTTAAATTCAGATACCCTACCTCTGCTGATTGCTCAAGGATGTCTTCAACATTGAGCTCCTGCATTTGCTTCATCTCTACATCCAGCACCTAAGCAATCAGCATCTTCTTGCACCTAAAATCAACTCATCCAAAAGAAATTAGGGGCAAAAAGAGAACTCTAGATGGAATTCAACAGCTCATGATATTCTCCTGCACACACGTAAGTTATTCACCGAGAGAGAAAGAATATGACCTCCTACATACAGACTAAATGGACAATAAGTAATAACTTATAGGCTTATTTTAAAGATGATCATGGCTGTCTCAATACTAGCTTTCTTTGAGCTGCTGACAATGGAGCTGACTTCCAAATCAAGAAGCAGCTCTGCAGTTTTCTGACACTGTAAATTATACACAAAAATAAATTCAGGTAATCAACATCTAAAGATATATTAAAGTAATACCAAAAAAGCTCTTTTGTGTTCATTCATACTTATAAACTATATAAATTTATTATTTAAACCCCTAAATTGAATCCAAACTAGATTGAAATCAATTCAAACGCTCTTTTTTTTTTGTTCACACTATATATTCACACCTATTCATACTTATAAACTATATAACTTTATTTTTTCACCCCCTGAACTAGATCCAAATTAAAATGAAACAAATTCAAACACTCCTTTTCACATTACACCTAACTTTTTTTTTATTTAATTCAATTCAATTATTATTATATTATCCATTTCTCAAATTCCTATTAAAAAAATTCATAATGCCGTGTTTACGTGGAATTGAGTTGCAAGAAAAATATCTTTATGCCTTTCCCTTCTTCTTCTTCTTCTTCTTCTTCTTTTTAATTTTTGCCAAAAACAAAGAAAAAATTATATAGGCTTTGCACCATTTTATAAAAAAAATGTATAGAAGCTCATCCTTTTCACTTCTCCCACTCGGTGGCCCATTCCTTGGGAGGCTCTCCAAATTTGTTCCTAAATCCATAGTGCTTCGGATCTGAAGGTACTCTCACTTTCTATGCTTCTATGATTTTAAATTAGAACCATATCAATATTGAATTCTTTTTTTTTTTTTCTGAATTTTATTGGGTGTTTACAAGAACTAGAATCATTCGAAATTTTAGGAAAAAAAATGTTAAATGAATTGTTGGTGCCCAATATATCAGTATTGGGCTTTAGTTTGATTTTTACTAATCCATAGCAACCTGACTTTAACTCAGCAACAAATCCATCTTTTAGGTCATTGTTTCAATTTTTATGGGTTGTTGCTTGCTTAGAAAGTGCAAGAAAATGGTTAATTGTTACAAAATGGTTAGTAATTTTTAATGTTACAAAATTACTTCACACAAAATGATTAATTGTTTTTTGCTTTAATGCTTCTAACTTTCCATATTTTGCAGCCATTATTTTATGTTCTTCTTTATCGATTTGTTACATGACTGGTGAAGAAATGGTGAAGCTGTTGTGAAGTTGTCATGGTACAAAAGTGCCATCTTATGTAGCATCATTAGTTTAACATGAAGAAATCTTCAAAGATTAACCCTTGAGATAAGCATAATCTTAGGCTTTAGCTTTCTACTAATATAATTATTATCTCATGCATAAGATAAATAAGTGAATTATATTTGTTTTTGAACGATTTTCACACTATCGTAACAGTTGATATATAGGATGGACTTTTTGAGATATTTATTTAGTTTCTATTGCTTTCAATAAATGAATTCTTACAAAACACATTTGGTAATGTATTATATGACATGAGACAATTCTCATTTCTTCAAGCTGATGAGTTTTGATTGCAAAAACCACCTATAGCAAATTCTTTACATTGAACTCGTGTTGTCCATGTTATTTGTGAATGGAATACGGCAGTGGATACAACGGCTAAAATAGGAGACAACATCGCAAGAATTTTGTTACTCTTTATTGTATCCTTAAGCAATTAAATATGCATATATTGCTAACATCATAGAGATTGATGTAACTAAAGTTAAATTCTCTATAACTTACTGTTATATTTTCTTTTGAGGTAATTATATATTTTTTTACTACTAATTTCCTTTTTTATATTAAACTTTTAATGTTTTTTTCTTTCACGGCCGGGCATTGCCTAGGATATTAGCTAGTTTGAACTATAAGCTGAAAATAATCTTAAAATATTGTAGTTCTACCTGTATGATCACAGATTGTTCAATAACTAAACCAATGACAATGGTCCAACACAAATTAGAAAAGACACATAGAATTGTTCTTACAATAATTTCCCACTTACCTGATTTAAACAATTGAGACAAATGTATGTAGATCCACCCTCAGATCACGGGGTGAAATCAAGCATACTTACACCACAGTTGCTTTGAAGTAAAATTCTAAAGTACTCTATCCCGAACCCTGATTATTATGAAGGCAAAAAAGAAAGACACATAAAACTCATCACAATGATGGTCTTGATGCTTTAACAAGGACTTAGAAGTTACAACAGAGGAAAGGACTACTACCAATCGTTGTTGGAACAAGACGCTGATTAACAGCGTTGTGAGCAACCACAAAGAACAGACCTGCTTTCATGCACAAGGAATTTTGTCCTGCAGCTTCTGGCACGCATCCACAACTCACTTACTGGGTAATGACCATCAATGTTGAAATTTGCAGCTTCAACCTGCCAATGACAATAAGCTGCACCAAACTTAGCTTTACCCTCATGCTCCAATAGGCTCTAAATTCCATTAATAGATACTAAAACCATGAAGGAAGAGATAAAAAATCATAGAAACCAATGTTTAAGCATTTCACATTTGAATTCATAATGCAAGATTGTTTAAGCAGACATATTTGAAATGATTACAGGTCTATTTCTCTTAAATCAAAATAGGAAATCATCTCCTCCTCGTGAGATCCCCATATTATTATAGGTATATTTCTCTTAAATAAGAATAAGAAATTCATAATGCAAGATTGTTTGATTTTACATGTCATTAATATTTTTTTTAAAAAAAACTAATTTTATAGTAAAATAATAAGTTATGTGACACTTTTATTACTAGAAAGATTTTTTTGTATTAAAAATTAAAGTGTATAAATAATTTTAGTACAAAACTAAAAGTTAAGAAATCAAATTAGTATTTTAACAATAATTTTACCATTCAAAATCATTTTGTTTTCTTCAATAATTCCAAACTCTTTTTCATCTCTATATTCATCTCACCTACATGCTAATGACTTGACAAAAATGACTCTTACTTTGACTAAGAAATTATTATCTTTAAACCATTTAAGGAGTTCTCCATTATTAATCCTATATTTTGGTTGAACATGAGTTAGAAAATCCCTCATCATTTTGAAGCCCCCAAAGCCAACGGCTAGTTGCATTGCACTGTGAAGTGTGCAGTGTTGGTGTTAGGTGTTGCTTTCCTACAATCTAATCCAATGTCCTTACCAGCGAGACTTTAGCTGGCAGCTGCCAATCTCTTTCTTCCTGTTTTGGAATTTATAAAGTTGCCTTTTTTTTCTATTATGGACTGACCACACCATCACATTTTGTCACTTTTGTTCACGTGGTCCTTCCTGGCCATCAAACCATCATTCCAGCCTTCCTAGCTTATTCTACATTCTTTCCATATATATCATGGGCAAACTTGATTGGCAAGGGAACAAAATTTACTCCTGTTAATGATGATTAAGATTTAATAACTAAAGAGATAACGAAAATGAAATTCCATCATAAGTTTTTCTTTTTTAAAAGAACAAATTTGGATATGGACATTTCATTTTCCTTTCACATTAGAGAATTGAATTTAATTTGTCTGATATAATGAGCATGGACACACTTGATTAAGGTATATCAATAAAAGTTTAAATGAATTGCTATTTGATTTTAGAAAAAAGAAAAAAAAAAGTTGAAAATTTTAAACTATTTTTGTTCTTCTTTCCCATAAATTATATATTAATAATCTTAAACTAAGAAAGATGAAAACTTGGTAAATACTAAGTTGTTAACCATTGATGCATTGCAAAAACTTAAAAGAGATATAGCCATAACTAAACTTTAAAATGGCAAAATGAAAAATGAGAAGAGAAATGGAGAAAGAAATTGGTGATGGGTACACATTAAATGGTGGGTATACCAATATATCACCTTCATTAGGTGGGGTAGAATATGAGCTTGTCATTGAAGCCAAAATGTCTCCTTTTTAAAGGATTGCAACTGTCTCATGCGGCAGGGCCAGCCAGTGGTGTGCTTGGTGGGGGCAACATAAATTACATAATCTCTCTCTTTTCTTTTCCTTTTTTTTTTTTTTTCACTATGATTTATGTAATCTATTTATAAAAAAAAAAAAATTTTAATATGTGCTTTTAAGAATAAAATTATTATACATTTAACGTTAATTGAAGTTGAAAAAAATAAAAATTTACCTTTGTTTAAGTTATTAGTCAATTAAAATGATTCATATAGTATTT